AGAAATTAAACTAAGTGTAGGGAAAAATGAGTCTCCCGGCTCTTCTTCTCCAGTTGGAAACCTTCAGCAAGAACCCCTTGACAGCCCAGAACCTCGTGTCAAACAGCAGTTGTGTTTCCAAAACTCTTTCACATAAAGAACTTGGAAATATTGAGGACCTTATACATTCTCCAACAAAAATACAGACTTTTTCTGGGAAAAACATTGATTCATTGACCCTACAATTCTTACCTGGATTACTTACTCTTGCACTCCGTGGACTCAAGGCAGGGCATTCCTAGCACCCTGTGCCCTGGCTCACCAGCCAAGATGGGAATGGCTGCTGCCTTCTGATTGGAAAGCCATGCTAACCAGCCACATCCCAAATTCTCTAGGCTCTCTGCTGCCCAAAGTCCTGGGAATGCTGACTTTAAACCAAGCAAACTGCAGGTGGGTGACATAAAATTTCAACACAAAGACAGTGGGATAAGGCCAGGTAAAACTCTCCCCCTAGGACTTTCCTCTCTCCTCATCCTTAAATACTCCATCTCTGCATCCCTTATCTCTCCCTTTGCCACACAGATACCCCATCTCCACTGCCTCCCCCACCACGACAGCTTTAGCACTCTGCATTACTCCCTGCAAACACCATATCCTCCTGCTACCCAAATCCCTCCCTTCCCTCTCCCTGTAACCCCCCTACCATGTCCCTTCCTCTCCCTCATCTTCCCACCACACCACTGCTGAACAACCCCCTAAATCACAGACATCCCAAGCCTATTGCACACCGAGCACCTTTACAAAGTTCTTCTCTGCTACAAATTTTCGGTACCTTCAGTCTGTGGTAGTTGATTCAAGATGACCTGCTGCTGGCTGACCACCCCCACCCTCTGTGCTGGTCAGGAGGGCAACGTGAATACACGACAGGGTGCCAGTTCTGTGCCCAGGGCACAGAAGGGTGTTGAGATGAAACAACAAGGTGGGTTCATCAGCACAACACGACAGGCAGCAAGACACGGCACTGTGGACTGTGTGTTGCAGGGTCTGTGCTCCACTTGGAGCTTCCAGACTGCTGTTCAAGGAAATTGCCATCAATGTCAGCCTCACCACCACTATTAGACATCTCATCCATGTCCAGGCCCAGCTTGAACCCATTTAACTTGTAATGGATAATGAGATAACAGCATGACATGTTGCAGCTGAAGATTATTTAAACACCCATCTGGTACCTGTTATGCAGCATACGTCCTATTGTTGTATAGGAAATATATGCCACCTCCCTCCCACATGGAAAGGAGATCTATAGATGTGTCCCATGCTACCCCTTCTTTTTGCACAGATGAGGTAATTCTCATTCTCTGTGCTGTTTCTATCATATTTATCATGCATTTCCTATCTGTGTTTTGGGAGATGCAGTCCATTCCAGGCTGGTGAGACTTTGTGAAAAGTCACAAGAGCACAATGAAAAATTTGCTAGGGGTGTCTCCTTGCTCCCTTCACACATTAATCAGATGTGCCATCCAGGTTTTGAAAGGGGGGACCATAAACCGTGACACTGATTCCCCCTTTGCAAGACACACAACTTGGCACCACCCTTTGTCCCAGAGGGATTCAAGGGTGACAGTCCATGTCTGTATTTGTGGAACCATGCTCTGTTTCTACAGGGGAACGGTGAAATACCTGCTGAAGCCTGTGAGGTGAGCAAGGCACCCTGCTTGCCCCTTTAATTCAGATGGACAGACAAGAATCTGCAGATCTCAGCTAAACAGCCTCGTTTCTTCATCCAAACTCTCCATCTTCCTCTGGCTGTCCTCAGTCCCCTGCTGAAATTGCCGTGAGGCTCTTGCTCTCCGTGAACCCTCCTCAGCCACGTGGCGGGCTTGTTGTGTATCCCAAGAAATCACGTTTCACAACACAAGTGGTCAGCTCTGCAGATGTGAGTCCACCCTCCTCTCTCTCCTGTTTTTCTCAAACGTGACTCACTTCTCTGCAAAAGTTGTTCTTCCCTGTAAATCCTGGACCAAACCCTGTGTCTGACGCCCCATCTAGCGTTCAGCACGGACAGATGCAGGGGGCACCGGGGCGCCGAGGAAACAGGTGACTGGAAAATTCCCAGCATTTTTCACCACCTTCGTGAAATTATCATTTGAATTGTCTCCAAGAGAGCTCGGACAAAGCCCAGGCAACACGGAATCCTGCATATCCCAAGGCCAATTCCTGGCCTCTGGCCTCTCCGTAGCCTCTGGATGAACTAACGGAGAGGTGGCTGATGGAAAGCCCAGGAAGCCCAGCTCCTCAGGTGTCAGCTCCCCGGCAGCCCACCCTGCGGCTTGGACCACACCTGGGTAAATTACTTTGGAATAAGAAGCCAAAGGTCTAAGCTGTGCCCACGTCAAGGCTCGATGGCAGCTGATAGCGTGGATTTTCTTTAAACAGGTAACAACGGGGCTTTCTGTCAGTTTGGCAGTTGGCAGCACAGGGCACTGGTTCTTTTTTCACGTCAGATCCTGAGCTTGTATTTTGAATACTACACAACGCTGCTCAGTGTTTTTTCAATAAGATTTTACACATTTTTTTCATTAAAAAAAAAGTGTTGGCTGAGAAAATAAAAGCAGTTTCGGTATCTGTCCTTCTCCTTTGCAAACACACTTTTTTGGCAGTGGGGGGCAATTCTGAAGTTGCCAGGACAAGAAAATCTGCTCTGAGAACTTGGTTTTATTAAAGCAGCTTTCTGACACGTTCAGTTCTGTGAGCTGCAGAGCTCCAGGCGCTGCTACGGAAATCCTTGGGCTGTGTGATGCTGAGTGACACCCTCTTGCAATTAAGCCCAAAACAAGCATCTCAATGTTCTCCGTTAATCACTAGCCCAATTAGCACCTTGGTTAAGATGTAGTGAGAATTCCAGTCCTGCTTCCCTCAGAGCTGGGATTGTTCCGATGAAACTCTCGCTCTGCCCATGCAATGGTCTGTTCACAACACTTTCGGTTCTCCAGGAGCAGTGCGATAAGTCTGCTAACTCATTAACACCTCCAGCTTACAGGAGACTTGGCTCCCAACCTCCTGAACAGCCCCGGGCTCCACGTTTCAGGAAGTTTTTCTGCAGTTTCTGTTTTGCTTTCTTTTCCTGCTGAGCCGGGCTGGCGCTCACTTCCCACCATGAAGCTTCTGAACGCTGCTCTGATCTTTATTCTCGTGCCCACTCTGACGCCGGCTTTTGACCCTCTCAGCGTTTCGGTCGTTCTGGGGGGCGCGGCGGTGGCTTGGCACCTCCTCTCCTCTGACTCCTGGCTCAAGTGCCGTTTCCAGGAGTGCTGCAATAGGAATAACACTCTGAACTTCACAGGTAAGGCAGTGGCAAGGGCTCCTTGAGCCAAGTGGTTCCTTCCCAGGGTGGTGAGAGCTTCCTTTGAGGGGGTTGTGCAGAGACAAGAATTACCACCCACAGTGTCTCTAGAAGGCGGGGGCTGTACTAACCTAATATATCTTATTCCACAAGTGGTCACGTAGCCTTGCTTCTCACAGCAGTACTGGAGCATTTTCCTTGCTGGTGTTTTGGTTTATGTTGGCATAAACTGTGCTGGTTTTGTCTGGGAGAGGTAATTTCCTTTCTAGTAGCTGGTACAGTTGTTGTGTTTTGGATTGAGTATGGGAATTATACTGATAGCACAGTGAGAGTTTTAGTTGTTGCTCAGTGGTGTTTATACCAAGTCAAGGACCTGGCAGCTCCTCATGCTGCCCTGCCAGTGAGGAGGATGGAGAGGCACAAGAAGCTGGGAAGGGACACAGCCAGGACAGCCCACCCACACTGGACCAAGGGATATTCCAGACTACAGAATCACAGATTCATTTAGGTTGGAAAATACGTTTTTAAGTTCACCGAGTCTACTTCTCCATCAGCCCGCTGATGCCACCAGCAGGGCAGTGAATGCCATTGATTGATGCCACCTCATCAAGGGGGGTGCCAAGAGATGGAGCCAGACTCAGCTCTGTGGTGCCAGCGAGAGGCAACGGGCAGAAACCGATGCCCAGGAGGCTCCACCTGAACATGAGGAATAACCTCTTCACTGTGCAGGGACCGCGCACAGGAACAGGCTGACCAGAGAGGGTGTGGAGTCTCCCTCACCGGAGATATCCCTGACCCATCTGGATGCAATCCAGTGCCTTGTGCTCTGGGATGACCCTGCTCTTATTAATTAATATTCAGTCTTGTACTGGACAGCCTTAGGCTTGAGAGTTTACAGAGATCAAATGCCAAAGAACATATCTTTTTAAGGAAGTTTTTACGTATTCCACATTTTGCAACAAGATGACCCGCTGTGGTCCCTTCCAGCCTGACTGCTTTTGGGATTCTGGGGATTCTAGGATTCCGAGATTCTGGGATTCTGATTAGGCTTGAACATACACAAACACTAAAGCACCTCCTTTTTTAAGAAAATTTTTGCATATTCCACATTTTGCAACAAGATGACCTGCTGTGGTCCCTTCCAGCCTTACTGATTTTGTGGTTCCGGGCATTCTGGGATTTGGGGATTTTTGGATTTGGGGAATTTGGGATTCTCGAATTCTGGGATTCTGATTAGGGGCTCGAACATATACAAAGATCAAACACCAAACAACATCCTTTTAAAAGAAAATTTTTACATATTCCACATTTTGCTACAAGATGACCCAGTATGGTTGTCCTTCCAGCCTGACTGATTCCAGGATTCTTGGATTCTGGGAACTTGGGATTCAGGCCTTCTGGAATTCCGGGATTCTGATTCAGCTTGAAATTATACAAAGATCAAACACTGAAGAACATAATTCCTTAAGAAAATTTTTACATATGCTGCATTTTGCAACGAGATGACCCGCTGTGGTCCTTTTCTGGCCTGACTGATTCTGGGGTTGAAAGGGTCCTTAGAGATCATCTAGTTCCACCCTCTGCCGTGGGCAGGGACACCTTCCACCAGAAGGGATTCCGGGATTCTGGGATGTTCGGGTCCCGGGACTCTGTGAGGGCGGCCCTGCCCGTCTCAAAGATGGCGGCGGCGGCGCCGGGCGGGGCGGGGGGGGGCGCGCAGGCGCAAGTGGGCGGCGGGCCGCGCGCGCGGGGCCGCCATGGCGCCGTCGGTGCCGCTGCTGTGGGTGCTGCTGCCGGGGCTGGCGGCGCTGGAGCCGCTCAGCGTGGGCCTGGCCATCGGCGTGGCCTCCGCCCTCACCGGGTACCTGTCGCACCCCAGGTTCTACTGCAGCTACGTGGAGTGCTGCCCCCGCGACGGGCAGCGCCTCAACGCCACCGGTACGGAGGGGGCTGGGGGGGTGCCCCGCGCTCGGCCGGTCACCGCTCCCGGGGCGTGTGCGGTGACCGGCGGGGCTGAGCTGTCCCTCTCCCCCCGCAGCGCTGAAGGCGCAGCTGGACAGCAGGCTCTTCGGGCAGCACCTGGCCAAGGACGTGGTGCTGAAAGCGGTGCTGGGCTTCAGCAACAACCCGAGCCCCAAGAAGCCGCTGATGCTGTCGCTGCACGGCTGGGCCGGCACCGGCAAGAACTTCCTCAGCCAGATCCTGGCGGAGAACGTCCACCCCGCGGGACTCCGCAGCAAGTTCGTCCATCTCTTCCTGGCCACCTTGCACTTCCCCCACCACGACCAGGTCAAGCTCTACAAGGTGAGGAGGGGCCCGGGTAGAGGGGGTTGTCCTGCACGTCCCCCCCACCCCAGATCCCTGGCAGCCGGGGGTGTGCAGCTGGGTGTTCCAAAGCTGGCCCTTAGGAGAGACGGAGGGGGAAGTTTATGCAGCGAGTAAGAGGAAAAGGCACCAAAAAGCCGGGGAATCGAATGTGAGATAATTTCCTAGCGCTGTCCTCTCACCGGTGCCATCTGCTGATTCATGTGCTCGCTGCTAGGAGAGTCCCAGCATCTCAACTGAATATCCTGGCTGAGATGGAAGGAACCTTCTCTCTAGCCCCTGCAGGGCCATATTTTGCATTTATGGCTAAAACAGCATTGATAATGCAGCAGTGCTTTGGCTGTAACATAAATGTGCTTGCACAGCCTTAAAGATGCTGCTTTTCCACTCATATCAAGCAGCCTGGGGTGGACAAGGGATTGGGAGGGGACACAGCCTGGACAGCTGACCCCAGATGGCCAGAGGGATGTTCCATACCATATCTTGTCATGCTCAGCAATAAAAACTGGGGTAGAAGAAATAAAAAGTGGTGTGTCATTGGCTTCTAAGGGGGTTGTTGCTCTAACTCTGGCTGGGCATTGGTCTGCATGTGTCAGGAGGGTGAGTGATTCCCTTTGCTTGTTTTTTTCCTCTTTCCATCAACTATCAAATTGTCTTTATCTTGACCCAGTGATTTTTTCACTTTTATTCTTTGTCCCCTCTCTCCCATCCTGCTGGGGTGCCTGGCTGGGGCAACCCACCACACACTGTGCAGTGAGAAAGTGCAGCCTGCATCAGAGGTTTTCCAAGGGACTTCATTCCTTGTCATTGGAGAATTCTTATCTTCATGTTTTAGTGTTTGAAGGAACCCAGAACTGATGTACTGATAGATGTGGTTTCCGTATGAAAGACGAAACTGACTTTTTTAAAACAAACAAAAAGATTTCTCTAATACTTCCCATCTCAGCCCCATTTTCATGTGTTAGCCCTACACAAAGCAGAAGAAATTAGGAAGTCTTTTTCCTCTGTCAGCAAGAAAAGAGTTCACATTTAAATTCAGTGTCACACGTCAAAGGGATCGGTCACAGAGATTATGGTCCTTTCTTTGGGAAAAAGTACAACCAGTGAGTGTGGGATGCTTACATTTGACAGGGTGTCCCCAGAACCTGTCACATGGAAGAATCTTGCAGTACAGCCAGAAAAAAACTTGTTTTTCAATGGTTTTCAACCTCTTGTTCCAGGAACAGCTGCAGAACTGGATTCGGGGCAATGTCAGTGCCTGCCCCTCCTCTGTCTTCATTTTTGATGAGATGGACAAAATGCATCCAGGTGTCATTGATGCCATCAAGCCATTCCTGGACTATTACGAGGAGGTGGATGGGGTGTCCTACAGGAAAGCCATCTTCATCTTCCTCAGGTCTGTGGCACCTGTTTCTGTCATTTTGAGATACTGAGATAAGTGTTTGTTTATGATGGTAATGACGTTCCCAAGGGACCTCATCCAAAGCACAGCAAAGGAACCACTCTGAAGACCCTCTGTGCAAAGACAGGCACTGATGGCTATTTAAAGAACTGGAGACTTGCCCTAAATTTTGGAGTATAGGATTCTGTTCTGGTGATTTGTTTGATATCAAGATTAGGAATACAAGTAACTGGCTGCAAAAGAAATTCTGGTTCAGCTGTGTCTGTATTTCAGCACTGTACATTTTTCTTTTATGACCAGCAATGCAGGTGGTGACTTAATTAATAAAGCAGCTCTCGACTTCTGGACAAGTGGAAAGCGCAGGGAGGATATTCAGCTGAAAGACCTGGAGCCCTTGCTTTCTGTAGGAGTCTTCAACAACAAGAATAGTAAGTCACTTTGCCCTGAAAAATGGGCAATTCATTCCTCAGTGGCTGAGACAAAAGTGCTTTATGAATTCAGCCAGGCCTGCAGATCCTGTTGTGGGCGGGATCGAGTTTAGAGAAACTCCTTCCTATGATTATTTTCATTTCCCAACTCTTCCAGGTGGACTGTGGCACAGCAGCATCATCGACAGGAACCTCATCGACTACTTTGTGCCCTTCCTGCCCCTGGAGCACAGGCACGTGAAGATGTGTGTCAGGGCTGAGATGGCCGCCCGGGGCTACGCCGTGGATGAGGACATTGTTCAGGCAGTGGCTGATGAGATGACATACTTCCCCAAGGAGCAGAAAATCTACTCTGATAAAGGCTGCAAGACTGTACAGGCCAAGCTAGATATTCATGAAGACCTTGTGATGGGAGATATGAGAGCCGGGGGTTGATTTCTCCTCCCTTCAAGTTTCCAAAAGCACTTTCAGAGCTTTTGGAAATCTGTGTATTTGCACTTATGCTTTTTTACTGTTGCAGGGAGTATGGTGAAAATACCAGAGTGAGCTCTGTGGGCTTTGTAGCTTTTTTGTGTGTTTTTGGTTTTGTTTTTTTTTTTTAACTTAACATAGAATCATAGAATTGTTTGGGTTGAAAGGGTCCTTAAAGATTATCTTGTTCCACTCTCTGCTATGGGCAAGGACACCTTCCACTAGATCAGGTCACTCAAAGCCCCATCCAACCTGGCCTTGAACCACTGTTCATCTCTGAACAATCCAAATATTACCCCTTTAGTTTTCTTTTAATCTGTAGAGAATTTCTGAGTGTGACACACACACTGCACTGGATAGAGTCTCTGCTGCTTTATTCTTCCAAGTGCTGGGATTATTAAGTATTTAATTCCTTATTCCACAAAAACTAGACTAGAGCAAAGGAGAACAGGGAAATTCTTCCAAGCATTCATATTCCCTTCCATGTATACGGTCCTTTCATGTTCATAGTGAAATGGAGGGATGTGTGATGTGTTCAGGACTATGATCATGTCTGCAAGGGTGAACTCCTCAATGCACTAAGAAGATGATATGGTGGAAGTCTTCTTGTCCTTCCAGTAGATTGATGCTGTTGTGGTTTCTACAAATAAGCATTTCAGGGATAGAAGGGCACGAATACAGGGAAAGGCTGAGCTGTGGCATTATCCCAAATATCCTGCTACAGAAATAATGAGTCATAATGACCTCCAGCAAATCTGTTATTAAATAATAGAGGGTGTGGGGAAGGGAAGTAACTGCCCCATGTTTCTTTGGGGAGAAAGAAATTATTAGAGAAACTTTATATTCTTTAAGGGATGTAAGTGAATTTGTGACTCCAGGTCTTCCTAAGCAGAGGGACCCATCTGAGGGATCTGTTACAACATACTAGGCCAGTCTCCTGTTCTTAATCAGAAAAATCTCTCATGAGGATTTGACTGTTACAGCTTGCCAGGTTAATCTGCACATTGGCTCCTGGGCTGAATCTGTAACATCTTTAGTTGTCCCTCTGAGCTGCACCCACTGGTTGAGGTGTAGATAATGCTACTCTCACCTTACTTGGAAGACAGTTTGATGGAAGAAATTATTTTTCATAGTGTATTTTTATGCTGAAGTCTAAGCAACAGTCCCCTACCTCACTAGTTAAGTATGTTTTATAGTGGCTTTTGACATTAAAGAATGCCTATGTGAAAGGGTGAGTGATGAGTTAAGAAGCTGGGAAAGATCAATTTAACCTTCACCCACTGGGAAGGCTGGGGTTTAAAACTCTGCTGCAAGCTTTAACTCCTTCATCACCCATCATTTGTGGATCAGAGAGTGTAGTGCAAGACAGAAGTGCCTTTCACTTGGTTGATTGTACTGTGGCTTTTAAATTGGTACAAAGGATTGGGTATTTTTGTACTGCAGCATCTACTCCCTCACTTGTACTTAAACTTCCTTTAAGAGGTGATGCAAAATTACAGGTCTCATCGCAATTGTGTTAATTCAAATCACAGCAGAGAGCTTAGCATTTATGTTAAGCCCTAACTGAAAAGTGTCAATTGCCTTTTACAAGCCCACATGGAGTTTGTGGAATGCTGGCAAACTGTTCCCACTGATGCAATCTCCAGAGCCAAACTAGCGGGCCATTAACCTTGGGACATTGGACTGTCACTTTCCAGTGTGATGTTTTGCCTGTTAATTGACTTACTCATAGTTGTATATGCTGCATCCAGTTTCACTTACTCCATAAAATACTTGTGCCATGTCAAAACACTAACTACTGTACAGCAGTTGGAATAAATCTTAAGTTACTTTTCTCTCTTGGTTTAATGATTTTCAGCTATAGGAAAGTACTAGTTTATGCAGTTTGCAACCTGCTGCACTGCACGTATCTGTTAGGCTTCCTTAATTCTTAAAAAGGTGTTTATGACAATGGATAAGCAGATTAAATAGCCTGTTGGTATTCAAACATGTTGACTCATCCAACAGCACAGTAAGGAATTCAGCTGTTAAATACAGCTCGGTAGAAACAAACACCTATGAAAAAGCCTAAAAGTCTCTGCCTGCTCTGCTTCCTGGCTATTAACAGATCTCTCACTGCCAGGCACTGCAGGACAAACACACCTCAGGTAGCTTGTTAAACTATTCCTCCTCTGGCTGTGTCTGCAAAGCTGTCATTCAGTGTGGCTCTTCCCCTCTCCTTGAGCTGGCAAAGGCATGATGGGACTACAGGCTTCCTGTCTTCATGAGCCAAAGCATCTGCAGGCTCTGGAGCACTGAAAAGAAGCCAGTGTGTAAGTGATGCCTCAATTCAAGCGAGATAGAGCTGCTGGCAGACACTCACACCTCACAAGAGTCAGTGGTTCGTGCTGCTGTGAACCACGTGTTGTGCTCCAGGGATGCACAAGGAAGTGTTACAGGGGCTGCATGGGAAGCATAAGCTGTCTGTTCACCAGGACTTTGCCCTGTGCTGCACACGCGACAGCTCCGCTGTTTGATTGCAGGTTCTGGGGCCAGGCTGCCTGTCTGCAGGAGGGCAGAACTTACTGCATCCCTGTATCCTAACCAGGGCCTCTAATTTCATGAGCACAGCATGAGACCATGGAAGGTTCCCTGCAGAAGGTTGAACTAAAGCAGCAGCTGTTTGTGCTGGACTCTGGTAAGAACAGAACTCAGTCTTGGTGACTGCTGAGCTGCTCTCACCTGGCCAACAGATACCTGGGCATCACAGCTTTCCCCCCTTGGATGTTTTTCTTTAAGTTGCCTGATCCAGTTTCAAGTGGCCTATTAAACAGAATAATGACCAAAGTTATCCAGTCACAGCAAGAAAAACAGAGTGAAGACCTTAGCTCTGAAACCATACAGTCCACGGGGGAGGAATAACGATAGGATCGGAAGGATCAAATACGGGAGTGACTTCAGGCACACCTATTTGTTTTACCCAGATGGAAATGCTCCTGGCCAGGTCTGCAGAACAGAAGAGAGATTAAACAGAGGCAGCCTCCACCCTTTGAACATCATTCCTACACCTCCAGAGGAAGCTTCCATCTACCCCGAGTCATTTAGGGCTGTGATATAATGAAATACTGGCTACCAATCTATGTCAAATGCTCATATTGATGCTGCAAAGGCACACAAAGAAGTAAGAGTACTTAATGCTGGAAGAGCCACAATACTGCTTGATTGTACTGTTTCTTTTGAGGACAGGGTACCAAACAAGTTCATCATTATTAAATCTCCTTTTTTCCATTAGCCAGTTTTTGCTGTAATAAGGAAGTCAAAGAAACAGATAAATGCCTGAGTTCGAAGAACTCATTTGCTGACAAATACTAGGACAGGTAATTTAAATATCATACCCCTTCAGAGAAGAACTGGAACAGCTGGAGTCTTACTGGCCCTTTTTTTTAACCCCTTGCAGAGAAAAACTTCAAGATGCTGCCACTGAAAACCCAGGTGGCTTCAATTAGAGCCTGCAGGTGTTCAGGCAGTGGCACCACAGTGGGAAGAAATCAGCAGGGTTTTAACTGGTCTCCAAGTCCATCCTTACGATACTATTGAGCACACACACATCTAGGGAGTTTGCCTCTAAAAAAACCACATGAGTGTTATTAGCACTGATGGTCCAGAAGTGCAGTTTCCACTCCAAGCTTCATTTGTTTCTCTGTCACCAGGTAGCAGAGTCACATCTATCTATGCCCTTTGAACTCAGAAAGGGAGATACCTGTGCTCAAGCAGAGCTTGAACAGCCAGGAATGTAGTGTGCTGTTCCTCAACATGGAGTAAGTTTCTGCAAAATTAACATCAGATCACTGAATGCAAAGAACACCAGAAGGTAGCTAAGAAATAAATTTCTGATGAGAAAAGTTTATTTTGAACAGCAACTGGAATGAAAAAAGCCTCTGCAGTGCTCACATTCAGAAACAAGTCTGACACCCTTTGCAGTAACCGGTTGACACATTTTGGGTTTTTTTTCAAATGCCTTCAGAGTTGTCTCCATCCCTGTCTCAAAGGCACAGAGTATTGTGAGAAGATAAAAAAATGGGAAATCCTGCATGCTGGCCCCTGAATTTGACACATAGATGAAGAAGAGAAACCTCTTTTCCATTTCCATGGCTTAAAATTTAATCTGTACATGTTTCCCATTATAATACACCCTTTCCACGAAGCTGACTCACCAGTCCAGGAGCATACTGTTCTCCCTCCTGAGAGCACCCCTGGGAGAGAGCACGCTGTGGGCAACTTTATACATAAAAACTAACCAAAAATAGCAACTAATTACAGTGATGTGGCAGTCAAGGATTTTAACTCTCTTCCTTGTAACATTAAGTCTGCTCTCTGAACAGTATTCATAACAAAGAGTTTCATATCCTTGGTTTGAGACACAGAAGACCAAATTATACCACTGTTTTGAGAAAAACAATAGCACTACATGATGTTGGATAGAAGAGCCTAGATTTTTTTAATTCCAGAATCCCTCCCCCCCTTATCTCTACTAGACCCAAACCGTTGAAGGAGAAAACACACATATTCTATTTTAATGCATATTCCCACACAGGACCAATGAAGGCTTTCACAGACAAAGGAACTTTGATTAAAATTCTCAGTATTGTCTAGAGATCATCCACATCAGAGCAAAATCCAAATAAAATTAGGTCATAGTCTCAGTCCTTCTGTACCTGTCAACAGTCTGCCAAATGGTTCCAGCGATCCACACATGATCCGAGGAGTCTTCAGCCCTGTCAGACACTGACCCAGGAATTCCCAATGCAGTTCCTTCTTACCTTGGCAGCACAAGGCTGAAGTACTCAGGAGCCGTGACTGGTGACAGAATAAAAATGCAGAGGCACTGCTGCTTATTCGCATACCAGTTAAAAAATAGTGTTCCTTCTTTTAAAAAGTACTTAAAAATGAAATGTCTCGGGTCCTCCACTTTGTGATTAAGTTAAATTTGCTTCTTTGCAGGTTGTAGCAATAAAGCATTAGAAGTCATAGTAATAATCCAGCTTTGCATCCACAGTTTTACATCCTTTATCTGAATAAATTCTCTCCTCTCTGGGAAAGTAGGTCATCTCGTCAGCTATTCTGGTTAAAATGTCTTCATCCACAGCGTAGCCACGCGATTCAATCTCAACCCTGACACACATTTTCACATGTTTGTATTCCAGAGGCAGGAAAGGGATAAAGTAGTCAATGAGATTTTTATCAATCAAAGTGCTGTGCCAAAATCCACCTGCAAAGGGAAAAAGAGGCTTGTTACTACTCCTTTAGTTCAACACTACATGGAAGAGGCACATCACAGCCCTCTGCTGCACACCATCACTTCATCTCACTGCAGGCCCCAAAACTGCATCGTGGCTCCTCACAAGCCAAAAACTGGAGGCCACATCGAGTAGAAACCACGGCTGTAAAAATGCAGCTGAGTACAGTCCACCCCTTTTGTGTAACCTTTACCCTCTCAAAAGCAATCCCAGCTTTACTCACTATTTTTGTTGTTGAAGACAGACACAGACAGTGCATTCTGGATGTCTGTGAGCTGTATGTCTTCCCTCGTCCTCCCGTTTCTCCAGAAATCTAGTGCCACCTCTGTTATCTTTTCAGCTCCTGCATTGCTAAATGAAGAGAAAACAAAGATTGTAGCTGGGGGTAGTTTTAAAAGGCAGTGAGTGCACAGAGCTGCAAACCTGAGAAGGCACTTTTTACCTGAGGAAGATGAAGATGGCCTGTCTATAAGACACCCCATCCAACAGCTCGTAGTAGTCCAGGAAGGGCTTGATTGAGTCAATGAGTCCCGCGTGCATTTTATCCATTTCATCAAAGATGAAGAGGGATCTGGGACAGATGCTCACATTTCCCCGGATCCACGACTGCAGCTGGTCCTGAGTGCCATAAAAATGAAAGATGCTGAATGAGTTCGTGTTGACGAGACAGAAAATAGCACTTATGTTTACTGAACTTCGCCCTGAAAGAGTTATTTCAGTGGTGTCATTTTAATAGCTCTGTTTTCTTGACAAAAATTAAAAGTTGGAAGTGAAACTTTTAACAAAATCCCATGCTGGTTCTGAAAAATCTTAAGGCACCAAGAGACAGGATGGGACAAGCAGGAAATCTCCTTGTGAGAAAGATATTCCTATATAAACCAAAAATTAAAGTGTACAGCAGGACAAAGGAGGGGTCCCACCAAGGAACAGCCACACAAAACAAAGCTCACTTAAGCATTGCATTTTTCTCTCACCTAAGTGTTGCATTCAAGATCATTAATGAAAAAAAGGTTGATCTGTCTTGACTGTTTTCAATGATTCATCACTTTTTTATATTCACCGTTTACTCAGTCCCTGAACTGCAGGTGTTAAGTAGCAGTCACTACTGGTAATAAGTAGCAATAGGTTTCTCCTACTGCCTCGGGCAGCAAGCTTCCCAAGTTTATTCACCTCAAAACAAATGCAGAAAAGCTTCCATTTTATTTTAAAACAGCTCAACTACAAGAAGGGGAAAATTAAGCTGTAAAAGAGGAAATATCTATTTCCTCCATTTAGAAATCAAGTTTGTAGCCCATCCTGTTCCCATTTTTAACATACACAAACAATATAAAAATGCAGTACTACAAGTCAGTGGTACTCATTCAAACTCCGCTGTTAATAAAACACCCAGAAAATATGCATTTGAGCTACTCCTCCACAATATCCCCCTGCCCACAGAACTGCACTGACATTTAAAACCCAGGGCAGCAGAGCACACTCTTACTTTGTAGAGATTGATGCTGTGAGCGTGAGGAAAGTGCAAAGTTGCGACGAACTGATGGACGTATTTACTCTGCAGG